CCTGACGTATGACATCACTCTTGACTGGAAGAACCTCATAAAGTTCCTAAGAGCTAGACCAATCCCTAATTAAACTTGTCCTATTGTAAATGCACGCTCTCATTGTTCATGAAAATTGTTTACATTTATTTTTATATTAATATCACGATCTTATTGTAATGATAGAGCTTTCTCCAACCTAAGGTACTCATGGGGAACGAGGAATAAGTGTGGATTCATGTGCCTAGAGACGGTGCAAAGGGAATTTAACATTGTAGATGGCAGATAGTTTTATGTCATTGGTACTATACTAAAAACAAAACTGCCATGTTATTGAGCATATATTATGAAAGAGTAAGTAGCTTTTAATTTTATATATCTAATTTAATTTAATTTAATTAGTTTAATTGATATAGTTTCATACCTTTTACCCCTATATATGCTGCAGTTATCATTGGATTTTGGCTTTCGTAAGCCATGCAGATAATATTGTTTTTTTGGTTTTTCGTTCAAAAAAAATATATTGTTTTTTTGGTTTGATTCATTGGGTCTTCAGCCCATTGCCGATTTAAAAAAAAAAAAATTTGAAGTGTAAGTTTATTAGTTGATACAATTTTTGGCTTATGTACTATAATTGCTATAATATCAACCTTACTTTATTGTGCATTTCATGATAGGGAGGTCTCAACATACTACATGATGGGAGGGTACAAAAGCAAGAGTATTAAACCAAAATGGTCACGCCCAAAGGTAAGCATGGTTTGAACTTTTTCATTTTGCATCCACTTTAAATTTAAATTTGTTCATGTGTTCATTCTTTTATTTGTTTTTTTAATTAATAGTATCACATTCAACAGGGCAAAGTATGAGTACGATTACTATATTATCTATTACATGTATGATATCTTTTTCATTGAAAAATTTGATCAAGTAATTTGTTCTTTCACATTGGTTAGTTTAATAATTATTTTTCATTACTATACTTGCACTTGCAAAATTTTGAAGATCTAGATAGATTCAGCAATGATGAAATTGATGTGGTACATGATTACTTAGCACAATTCTTGCTTGAAGAGATAAGGTCAAAATAAAATATAGTTCGGATATTGTTTTATATTTTGTTTTGGTATAGTTTTACACTTTTGACAAATTATATCGTAAAGTTAGGAAATTAGTTGAAATATTTCATAATTGAATTGTTTTTGGCGCTGCTAGATAGAGCCGTCAATTACGGTCGAGTTCATAGGGCCGGCCCTTTTAGGCCCGAAAAAATTGAGAGCCAGGCTTTTATTTTACCTTTAAAAAAGTAAATCAGGCCTAGCCCTTTTAGGCTGGAAAATAAAAGGGCCGGCCCTTTTAGGCCCTTTTATTATTTTTTAAAAATTATAATATAAAAAAATAAAAGATTAAATACATAACTCAAAGAAATGTACATATTAAATGCATTCATCTATACTTCATTTATTTATTAAGATTTAACTAATAATATTAGCTAAATTTAATTTTTATTGATATTTACTTTGATGTTGCTATTTAATATTAGACCTAAATGCTTTAGTTTTCTTTATTGTTGTGGTATAAATTGATTTAAATTTATTTTCTTAAATTTAATTTTATGAATAATAACTTTTTTTATGATTATAAATATATTTTTTATAATTTTTAATTAAAAAAAATTTTAAAAAAATAGGGCTGAGGCCCTGAGGGCCGGCCCTTTAGCCCTGAGGGCTAGGGTCGGGCCTTATAAAATGAAACTCCAACATATAATAGAGCTTATTAGGGCTAGCCTGTTTAGGCTATGGCCCTTCAAGGGCTGACCCTTTAATGTCGAGTTGATCTTAATTGACAATTCTATTGTTGGAATGTGGTTTTGAATATGTTTCTGGTGCTTTTCAATTACAGTATATTTGGGACAGTTTTGAATATATAGTAAAAATAGTTTAAAAAAAAAGGGGGACACAAGTTGCTTCCACAATAAAATAGCGTAGAATAGAATAACTACGTCATTGCATTACAACCGATGTAGAATGACTACCCTTCTACGTTGTTGGTATCTAAGACTGACATGGAAACCCTTTTCTGCATTAGTTACGTAACCGATGTTAATAACCATAAATTCTATGTCCCTTAGATGTACTAACCTTTGGTAACCGGTATAAGAGGCTATAATTTATCAACGTAATAAACTTTCTTCTGGCAGTGCAAAATTGTCAATACTCACATTAGACCCCAGTTCTTTCCCAAGTAACAATGTCTAATCAAGAAGTGTGGTGCAAGGATAACAAGCACAAATCAAGAAATGTCTAATCTCTAATATGGATTGATAAAAAAAGAAAAAAAAAAGAGCCTAAGAAATATTTCAAAAATACCAGACATTTAATTCAACTGGTAAAAGAATTATACCAGATTAATTAAAGATTTTGAATTTGAGTTTGAGATTTGATAATGTAACTGCACTGGTGGTAAAACTTTCATTTAAAAAGGCCTTGTAAATTAGTTTGGGTATCGTCGAAATTTATTCAACTTAACACGGGCAATTGGTAAGCTCAACTTGAGGGAATCTAGAAACCTAGTTGCTTTAAAAACAAAAAAACAAAAGAAGGAAACTTCAAAGGGCAAAACCACGTGCTCCCATGGACTCCGATTTCAAACTTATGTTCCGAAAAGTTTATCAGCGGTTGGTGATGATGGGATGGACGCACAGAATTTCTCGATTTTAATGATGGCGACTCTTGAAGACATTAGACAATGTCACAATACATATTGGTTGCCACTGCTCCAAAATCTTTAAGAGGTGGAGACAATTTATTACACGCAAATATTTTAAGGAATATTAGGGCCAATATTATTGAATATTAATATACATATTTATATATATAATAAATTCATACATATAAAATTAAAAAAATTAATTTATTTGGGCACTTGCCCTCACTCCCTACATTACGTCACTATGGTACTACATTAATAATTAATAAATTAATCAGATATCGTGTTAAATAAGATAAGTCATTTTCTGAGTGCACTGAATAAGTGAATATCAATCACCGAGAAGATATATTCCAATGCTTCCTTGGTTCGATAACTTTGTTGCTTGAACAATAATATTATAGAGCGCGTTCTTTTCCAATCTGTTGTGCAGGAAGTTGCACAACGATTATTTATTTTTACTTTTGTTTAAAAAGATTTGCTTAGTCCTTCTGAGAAATTCTTTATAACATCAATTAAACTTTATTGAATGAGAGTGTGTATATTTCTCCTGAATATAAGGTTTAGTGTGTGCAAAACATTATGCTGAGAAAACTATCTTTAATTAGATTCCACAACAAGTTAAGTTTCACTTGATAATATTGAATGTTAGATAAATATATAGGAAATTAATTTTATACTTGTGTTGTAGCAAGATATATCTTTATCCTTTTTATCATTACTGGAGAGAATAACAATTAAATCTTAAAAGATTAAATTTATGGCAGTTATGTTTTTAACAAATTTTATATAAAAAAAATGAACTGTAAATATTGATTTTGATAGTCAGTGATAAGTCCGACGGGGGTGGATACTTGTTCCCACTCACTTTTACAAAAATTACATGCAAGATATGTAAAATTTACTTTTTCTTTTTTTAATCCACTGGTTTTAATATTTTGATCTCATTAAGTTTCAATTCTAATGATTTATTCTTTTGTCCCCACTAATTTGAGATTTTGAATCCGCCACGATAATTACAAAAAGTAATTTTAATTACAATATGAGAATTGAAATTTCTGAATTTATAATTATATGAATAGATCATTTTAACTCATTTTTTGGAAACTTTTTAAAAGCTTAAGTGTTGTTAATTTAATCTTTCGTGATATAATTCTCATTTGCTGTCATCTTGCAGTGGTGGTATTTCAAAGGATTTAAGATGGACCAAAGCTCCAAAAAAGGAAACGACTCGATCTTAGATGAGTGGCCCGTTTGGTGGACTTGATGTCAGGACTCTTACGAATTCAAGTTATTTTGTTGTATTTACAAATTACTCTTTTTCTTTTTTCCTGGAACAGATCGCATTATTTATCTTCATGCGACACGGTCCACGCATTGGGCCTATCTGTCTTTCTCTGGCCCACTCAGAGGGCTTGGCCCATTTAGTAACCCAGCGTTTCGAGAGTTATCGCTTATGATGACTTGGGAGTCCATGGCAATTGTGTAATTTACATTTTTCTTAAATTTGATTTAGTTATAACTTATATAAGATTAAGAACTGCTTTTGTGTGCAATTTTTTTTCCTCGTACATTACATTTCCCAAAACACTACCAGTGAAGTGAACTGTTCCTATGACAAAGAATCTTGGAAACATTCTTATCCCTTTCAATGTAAATGTATTTATCCAAATTGAAATTGTTTATCGAGTAGAATTCTAAAACCAACCTCAACCTCTAATAAATAAAATACCAATTCATATGTAAATTTTTTTTTTTAATTTTTCAACTTTTAACTTACCTATAACTTAATTTTTCAACTATAATTTATTGTGATTTAATTCTTTAATTTTTGACTCACTTATCAATCTTTCAACTTTTGATTCTTTTATGAATTAGTCCTTCAACTTTTATTTATTTTCTTTTTATATTAATTTAAATCTCACATAAAAAAACAAGATGAGGATATTGTAGAGCAAGATATGAACATTTTTTTATCTTTCTTATTTGATAAGGATAACTTTTTAAAAAATTTTAAAAATAAGGATCAAATTATAAATGAGTGAAAAATTGAAGAATAAAGTCGTAATGAACTGTAATTGAGAAATTGAGTTGCAGTGAGTTATAATTTAAAAATTAAATTATAAATGAGTTAAAAGTTAAAAAATTATAATAAAATATGTATTAAAAAATTATCTTAAATTAAACTACAAAAAACTTATCCTGAATTAAATTAGGCCTTTGTAAATTGTAGTAGACCACTGTTCCCGCCCCCAGTTTCCTTTCAGGTCGTTGGAACCTCAAACCCGTCGTTTGCCAAGGATAGGGTGGCTGAATTACTGTTAAAATGTCGTTTAGTTTGAGGGACCGCTTAAACGAACCGCTAATCGTCTTCCGTATTTGGTTTTCCGGTGAGGGAGAGCTCAAAACGAAAATGGAGTCCAGAAAAAGCTGCTGGATATTGCTACCCACTCTACTTCATCCTATGTCGCCTTTAAAATTCGATCAAAGATCGAGTTCTTGATTCTCTTTCCGTAGAAAATAGGCTCTTTAGCTTTGAAGTTCCCAAATTAGTCCCTTTATTTTCATGTCGTTCGGCCCTTCCTTCATCCTCCGCCACCGCGCCGTGGCCGCCGCCGCCGCCACCCCAATCCCAGTCTTCGGAAACCTTCTCCGCCGCTTCTCGATTGCTGCCAGACAGCGAAACCCTAACAATGTCTCCAAGAAACTGCAGGAAAGACAAGTACCTAATAAGAATCTTCTCAAAGCGAAGCACACTTTCAAGGATTACTCCTCTCTTGCTCCTGTTCTCTCCCGAGATGACAATCCCCCTCTCTCGGAATCCCAGGCCATCGGTCTCGTTGCCGCTTCTCATGCCAATTTCATGCGCGTCATTGTCCCTTCTCTCCCCTCATCGGAAGGTTCCGAAGGTTCCGATGAGCGTGTTGAACAATCTTCTCCATCCTCTCGAATCGAGTTGCTATGTTTCGTGAGGGATTTGTTGAAGAAGATAAAGAGGAGGGTGATGGTCGGTGATAAGGTGTTGGTAGGTTCTATTGATTGGGTGGACCGAAGGGGCATGATTGAGAATGTGTTCGAGAGAAATTCCGAGATTCTTGACCCTCCGGTGGCCAATGTGGACCATTTGCTTGTGTTTTTTTCACTCGAACAACCTAAGCTCGAGCCGTTTGCACTGACTCGCTTTCTGGTGGAGGCTGAGTCGACGGGGTTACCAATCACGCTCGCACTGAATAAGACCGAGCTTGTGGATAAAGAGGTTGATCTCCCATTTGTTGGATATTATCCTTGACTTAGTCTTCGTGATTAGTCTTTCTAGAAAATTCGAATCTCTGGTTTTCTTACCATTTGGACACCCTGTGTTTGATCGTTTGAATCAGAATTCTTTAGCGATGAAGGCTGACGTAAAATATTTTTTCCTGCACTGTCTAATGTTTTTACTTTTTTATGGCCAGTGGTCATAAGTCTGAGGTAGGCTAGGTGACACGTATTCTTTTAACATTTCATTTATAGCTGATCCGCTCATCTTTGTTAAAAAAGAATCATGGAAGTTTGTTCCTACCGCTTAATTACTAAATGGTAGTGCATTGAAAGTAAGTTTCTGGAAGTGTTATGGAATTAGTGCCTTACGGATCCTTTATCTGTTGGTTTGTTCAAATTGCAGTCCAACTATGATCCACTTCTGTTAAGTAGTTGCTTTGACTCTTGGCTTAAGCTTTTCAAATTTTTCGATAATATTTTTTTTTTTAATAAAAATATGTAGACTATAAGTTCATGGAAGTCTAGGCTACGAAGCTGGGGTTACGAACCAGTTTTTTGCAGTGTTGAAACCAGACATGGAATTGATCTACTTGCATTCAAGTTAAGGGATCTAACAACCGTAATTGTGGGTCCAAGTGGAGTTGGGAAGTCTAGTTTGATCAATGCTCTTAGAAGCAACAACAGCTCTGTTTCTATTGGTACAGACGAGGATAATTGGTTTGAACCGGTATGTTTTGTCTCTTTAGTCCTTGTTTTTGCTGGTATTTTTCTACCATGTTTATTGGAGTTTGTTACCACTTGTGTGCGTGTTGTTTTCAGATTTTAGGCAGCAAGTTGTTTGAAAATCAGCGTGTTGGGGAGGTTTCAACAAGAAGTGGCCGAGGAAGGCATACAACTCGTAATGTTTCTCTGCTTCCATTATCTGGAGGGGGTCTTATAGCTGATACTCCTGGATTTAACCAGCCTAGCTTATTGAAAGTGACAAAGCAATCACTTGCCCAAACTTTTCCAGAGGTCTGTGTTGTTCTTATTTAATATTTGACGCACTTCAGTGTTGACTGAGTTTCCCTGTCTAAAGTGACAGTATCTTATTTCTTCTGTTTCAGATTCGGAAAATGCTTAGTGCCAATGAGCCTGCAAAATGTTCATTCAACAATTGCTTGCATCTTGGTGAACCTGGATGCATTGTGAAAGGGGATTGGGAAAGATATCAATACTATTTTCAACTTGTTGATGAAATTAGAGTCAGAGAAGAGTTCCAGCTAAGGACATTTGGAACTAAAAGAGAAGGAGACGTAAGGTATGGTAAAACCCCAGGATTTATATTTTTTTTCTTGGGTTTTTGGGGAATGGCCTTATTCCAAAATTCTTTTTAGAAGTATCACCGCTGGAATACATACCAACTCAAAATTTCTTACTGAAATCATTGACTATATGCATGTTACAATTACACAACCAACTGGATATTATAATTTGGTATTAGTTTTCTTTCCCAGGTGATACATAAATTATCTTCTACTTAACCCATGATTTCTTTTGCAGATACAAGGTGGGAGATATGGGTGTCCAGAAAGCAGAACCACGGCTGGAACCTAAGAAGCATAGGAGGCAATCTCGGAAGAAGATTAACCAATCACTTTTAGACGAGCTGGAAGAAGAGCTAGATGACGACGACAATTTGCTCGATGAAGAGAATGATCCTGTTTTGAGGGCTCTGAAGAATGAAAACTTGTAGAGCATGAAACACAACCGCAATGGGCATTGTAAATATTTCTTTTTGCTAGACCAAGTTGTAAGAATGATGTTAACAAAATCATTTGTGGACTCCTCTTCACCATGCCACCTCTCATATGCTTCATGTTTCGCGTAAGTACTGTGTTATCCCTGATTCTAAGTGCAACATCTTTTTCTAGGGGTTCAACAAGGATACTGTGCTGCACCCACCTCCTGAGTCCTGAGCTCGAAAGTTCTGCGTTCCACAGGCCATTTAACCTTGTTTACCAAGTCTTGTAAATTGCGTGTCATGCAATGTATATAGTTAAAATTCTTTGAAAGTATCATTGAGTTGCTAAATAAAAACGTAATGTAGATCTTTATAAAAGGTATAAAACAAATATTGTTCTGCCGCCAAGGAATTTGAGATTCAAGATGGTCATCACGCTATTCCAGCCCCCCTCAAAAAAATCCCCTTACAGAGTGCTTCCCCAGCAGTTGGTTAGAAAAGTAGTTAACTTGGCTGCACAAGATTGCTTATAAAGTATACACAGACATAGCCAGTCACTCGGCTAGCAAAAGTCTAACTGATAAAAAACTGATTCACAACACAAATCACAACTGTGGCTAAAGGAACGGCGGATCTTCTATAAATAGAGAATGAGAGATGAGGTTCCCACGCCACCGTGCCACACAGGTTCTGCTTTATTAGTCCCCTCCTTATTTCGTCTCTGTTCCTTGAGAGTTTAGCGGAGGAGAGGATCCACACTTGTTCTTGGTGAGGGAAGCCATCAAATTCTTATACTAATACCATAAAAAATGAGAAAAATCAATATGACAAATAAAATTTATGAAAAGCCTCATTATTCACAATCTGTAAATAGTGTGTCTAGTCTTTCATATATCGTGCAGTTCAAAGAAATTAGAATAAAAACCCAAGGGAGAGACAGAAACAAAAGAACATATAAGAAAAAGGCTACCAAAAACATCAAATATCTAAGCGAAGAAAGATCTGGCTTTCGTACACTGCATCACCATCCAATGGAGGGGAGAACCACACTGCCATTTGGTCTGTTTGGCTGGAGGGGAATGAAAGAGAGAGAGATTCCAATGAGGTTGATTTTAAGAAAATGGAGCAGTCGGGTTAAAAGATTTTAATTAATTTTTCTTACTCTTTTAATTTATATCTTTTTATTAAAATTTCATAACCCTACTTGTCCATTTTTTAGAAATTAAATTATTTAAATCTCCCCTCTTCTCTGCTCTAACCAACCTGTGGGTGTGAGCTTCCTCGAATTTACATTCACAGCCTGGTGAGAGGGAAGAAAATAACACAGAAATCCCAAATACTGTTAAAGCACCGGATTAAGCTCAATGGAACACCACTACACTAGCGCCAACATAAGTGTCAGTGGAATTACTTCTTTGAATCTACATTCACAGATTGGTGGGGCTTGGGATGCTTTTCAACCTCACTTGGATCCAACCTTCCAAGAAGATGGCGATTGAAAAAAGGGCCAGCAGAATTATCACCATATTAAAATGAAAGCTGAACAATTTCGAAGGGTTGATAATATATCTCTCCCAGTACAAACAAAAAATTTCTTATGTCCTTCGAAGTATCATCTGCTATTTAAAAATGCAAATCACAGTCACACAGATATAAGAATATAGCTCTAACACTCGTACTGTTATACAGCCACTGATCAATCATGAAACCCTAACACTGAATACTGCTTATAAAGCCACCGAAGATCAGCTCTCGTCCTCCCATTCCCAAGACACACAGGAACAGCAAAGTCGGTAGAATAGGATCAAATCCAAGTTTAGATGGCAATTCACTAGCAGAAACAAAGCACAACGTTAAAAACTGGGATTGTAGAGCTTTACCCCGAGGGGAGCCCTTCCAGAAATTCTCGAAGGCCTGGGGTTGACCCAGGCCTAAGAGGGGGTTTGGAAATAGTTTTCAACCAGCAATAGACGCGCCTCGGTTAGAACCTCACTAGCTGCGTCATTGCCCCAAGCGCAAAGATGCCTTCACTTGACTCCTTCGGTTTCTTTATATAGCCATACCTGACCATTCTCAAGTTTGGTTCCTCGATGTGGGACTTCAACCAAAGGCTACGGCTTACACTAATAAATAACTCTTGTACTTCCGCATGGCTAGTTTTGTTACTTGCCGTCATCGTCATGGTTCAGATATAGATTGAGGAGAATGTTTTTTGCCTGGTGAATTCGATTTAGTGTAAATTATCTTGAAAATGTAATTTCAGTCGACGTAATGTAATTTTATGCTAAAAAAATAATTAAATATTTAATGTTTCGGGTGATAAAATGCTATACCTGGACCAAGCCGGACACCAGATGAGATCGCCTAAGTTCTGACTTTGAAAATGAAAACCTAATTCAACTTTTGATTTTCTTTTCTTTCTTTTTTTGTAAGAAAACGAATATAAAAGCAATTGTTTGCATCAACTTTTATCAATCAAATGATGCGTTTTTCCCTTTGGCTAGGCAGAATGAATTTTATCAGAATGGGATTGAAAACAGGAATGCGAATGAACTTTAAAAACATATTTGGTATACTAACGAGAATGCTAGTATAGTTTTTACTTGAAATATGTAATTGTAACATCAAAATTCCATATTAACCTTACCTCTGTTGAGATAAAAAAAAGTTTTGTTCAAATTGAAACCCAGTGACCACTGTGCACACCCATCGTGAACCACCACGTCGCCGTCGATGGAGGGAGCAGATGATCATAAACCAACGAAAAGCGGAGCTGGTGATGGATGGAGTCTTCTCAAATGGGAAGACATGTGTCCACTTTATATATATATATATATATATATAAGGCAAATTATATTAAAAAAGAAAATACAGATAATAAATTAAAAATTAAAAACCTGGTTTTGGGACTAGGCATTACTAGTCGGGGGAGGGAATTCGAAGCTAAACAACAAACAGAAGGAAAAAAGGAAGAAGGTTTCGGGTCCTCGCTGATGAGTAAATGCAGGCTCCATGCAAGGTCTAATTGGGAGAAGAATTTTGATTTACAGTTAATATGAAGAGGTAAAGATGAAAACTCATTTTCAGTTGAGAAGGATTTTGATCCAATTAAACGAGGCAATTATTTACAAAGAAAATATTTAGCTGTTGCCTTTCGCATTGTAGAACTCGAGCATCAATCCTTGGAGACGTGAATTTCTGTGAAAATCAGAGACAACTACCAATTCGAGGCCAGGACACGCTCTCACACGTGGAGAAGCATAGCAAACGTGAGGCAAGATGTTAATTGTGGCATCAATTGGAACATTGGTAAAGGGCACGATTTTCATTTCTGGAAAGATAACTGGGTTGGTGAACTTGGACCACCCAAGAATCAAGCTTTTCATGAAATCTCATGCTGATCTTGCACGCCCTGTCAGTTATTATGTTGATGAAGATAGGAACTGGAAACCACAATTACTTGCACATTCCCTTCCCATAAAAGAACAGATTTGCGCCATTATAACATCAAAATTCCATATTACGCTTACCCTTGCAAACGAACAGATTGTGCAAACTGAACGTTTTTGCGACTTTAGATAGCATGAGAACAAGTGTGCTTGAAGTTTGGACTTCGGTAAGGCTACAGCTAACGTACCGGACAATTTGCTGCTTCTGCGCGTCTTCCTACTTTTTCAACATGATTCGGAGTACCGTCACCTTATAGAATCATGTTTTTCATTTATGTTTTTAATTTAAATTTAAATAGAAGTAAACCTGCAAAATTATTTCATTTTCAGACCATTTTAATGATTAATGATTCAATCATTTCTGAGATAGTTAAAAATACTCTATTTACAACCAGAAGCTTTACTACTTAAATGGATCTAACCATAGCTCAAATTTCAGTTGAAACCGCCGCCAACCATATAGATGATAAAGTTATGAGAAACGAAATCAAAGTTACTGAATTATAGTACAAGACAAAACAAACTTGCTCAAGACTAGGAACAACTCATACCAATGTGACAAATAAAGAGCAACGATATTCTCGAGAAACTCTAAATATTGGGTCTTCAATCAGATGCTACAATGGCAATTTAAAATGAAGCACCACTTCGAAGGGCTTAGGACTTCTTGCTTGTGGCCAACTGGGTCTCCGGCTACAAGACCAACAATGCATATACATTAGACAAGTGATGTGAAGGGGAGAACAAAATACCAGCCAGATTAACAATCAATACCTCCTTCTTCACAGGTTCTTCCTTCTCAGATAAGATAAGCTCAATATGGCAGGGAGATGACATGTATGCTGCAAAAAAGGTGTCTCACATCAATAAAAGCACAGTAATGTTGACACTAAAATCTGAAGATTTCAAACATACGGTTGATCCTTCCGTGAGCTCGGTAGGTGCGGCGTCTTTGCTTCTGTGCTTGATTAACCTGGATATGAGAAATGTAGAGGGCATCGACATCCAAACCTTTCACCTGGAAGGAAGTAAGCAGTTAAAATGTGAACATTTGGCACCAATTAGAAGCAACCAGAAATAATAACACGACGTACTTCAGCATTACTCTCAGCATTCTTAAGCAAGTCTAGGATAAATTTTGCTGATTTGACAGGCCAGCGTCCTTGCCCATTAGAATGTCTATTCTTAGCCTGCGCTGTCCTACCAACTCCACCACAGAACCTTCGGAATGGAATGGCTTGTTTGTGTGCAAGAACATCCTCCAAGTACCTCTTAGCCTTTGCCAAGGGCAACTTCCTGATGGCAAAGGCAGTCTCTCGAGTATTCTGCAGAGATATTAAAAAACAAATAAACCATAAGAAAATTAAAAAGTTACAGTAAGCAAATAGAAAAGGAACAGAGTTTTACATGCTCATTTTTTATTGGCATAGAAGATACATGGCAGCATGCCCTAGTTAAATATCATTGATGGATAAATGCAACTAACATATATGTTCCATCATTTACTGAACCTTCAGTCATCAGTCACATCAAAATACAGAGGTTCACCCAATAACAATGGTAATGATGTCCCTGAAGTTTACGAGAGACCTGCTCATAATATAGGACAGATCCCTGCTTTTTTCATCAGGTTTCCTATTTCCTGGCTTCAGAAAAGTACCCCCTAAGCAAGGAAACGTTGAAAAAGGTCTATCATGGCACCTTTATCAACTGTGCATGCACACTAAAGTCAAAAATGATTCATAGACGTGTGCAAATAAAGATGTTCCATCATTTACTGAACCTTCAGCCACAAACAGGACACAGGTTCACCCAATAACAATGGTGACGATGTCCCTGAAATCTACGAGAGACCTGCTCATAAATGAAAACAGACCCCTGCTTTTTTATCAGGTTTTCCTACTTCCTTAGTAATATAGGCTTCTAGCAAATTGACTAAAGCTCAGTTGTTTCATTGAATCGCACTTAAATGTTTAACTGCTTGGTTAAAAATTACTCAGTAATTCAGACAACATAATACACACTGTAATATTCATTCAGAGAAAATTTGATTATGGAAAAAGCTGTATGCTGAATAACGCAACATTGAAAAATGCCTATTCTGACACCTCTATTAACCATGTGTATGCACAATAAAGTTTAAAATGATTTACAGATGTGTGCAAGTAAAGATGTTCCATCATTTACTGAACCTTCAGCCACAAATAGGACACAGGTTCACCCAATAACAATGGTGACGATGTCCCTGAAATCTACGAGAGACCTGCTCATAAAGGAAGACAGACCCCTTCTTTTTCTATCAGGTTTTCCTATTTCCTTAGTAATATAGGCTTCTAGCAATTGAATAAAGCTCAATTATTTCATTGAATTTCACTTATAAGTATACTGTTCGGTAAAAAATTACTCATTAATTCAGACAACATAATACACACTGTAACATTCACTTAGAGAAAATTTTTGTGAATAAAAAACTGCTGTATGCATGTAGAACAACACCTAGTGGGATAAGGCTTCTTGGTGCTGTTGTTGTATGCATGTAGAACACAAAGTTGAAAATGGTATATTTCAGCACCTCTATTAACTATGTGCATGCACCCTAAAGTTAAAAATGATTCATAGATCCGCGCAAGTAAACATGTTCCATCATTTACTGAGCCTTCTGCCACAAACAGGACACAGGTTCACCCAATAACAATGGTGATGATGTCCCTGAAATCTACGAGAGACCTGTTCATAAAGGAAATCAGACCCCTGCTTTTTTTTATCAGGTTTTCCTATTTCCTTAGCAATAGACTTCTGGCCGTTAGCCAAAGGCTCAATGGTTTCTTTGAATTATGCTTCAAGCACTCTAAATGATTGGTAAGAAAACACCGAGTAATTAATGTAACTTGATACACATTGTAACATTCATTCACAGAAGGACCAACTAAAGATCGGTACCTTGAAATGGACTCTAAGGTCGGAGCCTCTAGCCTTGCAGGCTGCAAAACGAAGCAAAATTGCATATCAGATGAAAATGATTCAAGCAAAAATCTACGTTTCAAACTCATAAAATTCCAAAACCATCAAAAATAGAGCTCTGCCAATAAAAGAAAATGATAACTAGCGACGGAACTAGAGTAGAAAATCCATCTTCATATAGCTCTACCAAGATTTCCCAATAGTAGAAAAATAAAACATCATCACATGTTGTCAACCTCTAAAAGTTTAACGGTACTTACACTTGGTAGAATTGTCGGGCTCCCTGGAGTACTTCACCTAAAAAGAAATATATCAAAAAAGAAAAAGAAATATCAATAACCCAGAAAAAGTGAATGAACAGATACTGAACAAGATAAAAGGAAGGCATCTTCACCATGGCGTCTGATATGGGAGCTTCTCTCGCCTCGCCGATGGCTTTCGCTTTTGTAGAAGAAAGTTGCACCGTGATTTGTTCTTCTTATATGGTAAGGACTATAGGAAACCCTAGTTCACATCAAGCCACTACATAAACGTTGCAAGATGAAGGCCCTCTTCTTCACCCAGCCCATTATTTGAAGCCCAAAGTCATATAATATTCTTTGGACACTTTTTCTCACCTAAATGGAGAACAGAAACGTTTTTGCTCGACCAGCCCCATAACATGAAGCCCCAACTCATGAAAAATTCTTTGGATGGTATTTTAAATTTCTATGCCATACGCGCTATGGATCTGGGGTAGACTTTTAATCTTCAAATTATGGACCCATGTAAGTTGAGTCTTATGGCTTAAGCCTGTAAATCTGATTATCTTAAAACTGATTATTTTCTAAAATTTAGCTTTAATTCAATGGACTTGGGTCGAGACTATATGCCCTTTTTATTATTTTGATTTTAATTTTTTTAATTCAATTTTACATTATAATATTTTACATTCTTTTTTATTATTTTAATTTTAATTTTTTTATTTAATTTTTACATTATAATATTTGTATTCTTTTTCTAAAATTTAAATTACAATATTCAAAAATTTAAAATAAATAAGATAAATTTTAATTTTAAAGTATCAATATATATTATAAAATTTAAATTTAATTTAAAAATTAAAAATATTTTATTTTTAAAAGGTAAAATAAAAATTAGCCGCTCTAGCTCGAGCTTATTTTTATGGAGTCTATATAAGTTGGGCTTAGAACCAATTACACTAAAATTTTTTAATTTTTCAAGTCTAAACCTTGAAAAATAAGTTTAAACTAGTGACATATATTTCTAGAGTCTCTCGTCTATAAAGTATGCATCACTTTGAAATTTTGGTTTTGTTTTAAAAAATATGTAATTTCAATTAAATATTATTTATTTTTAGATTATCTTACCCTTCATTAATTCAAATAATAATTGGTGGACAAAGTAATGGCAAGAAAATAAAACAAAATAAATAAGGATTTTTTTGTAAGTATCCAAATTACTAAAAGAAATAAAACATAGTTAATATTGATTTAATGTTTCATTTACTTCGACATCAGGATGTAACATGTGCTTTAAATTACTTATTTTTCACGTGGTTTAAAAAAATTATGAAATGATTACACCTCATGACCCATCTCTTCTTAAAGACTCTCAAATGCAGAAATTAAAGCCTAAACCTTCATATGATTGGACCAACATGATAACTCTGGTTGGATATTATACTCTTTTCATCCAACTTGAAGCGGGACACTAGTGATCAATTTAGCTATTATATGTTTGTTTGTGGAAGTTTTTCCATGTATTTTTATAGACTGGATTTGTGTAATGTTGCTTGTGAATCTCTAGAAAAAGTTTTTTTTTTTTGTTTTTTTTGGAGATTCTGTATTGCTAGTATTATTCAATCCTTTGAAGTGTCTATTTATGAATCATTTTTGAAATTGAAAGGAACTATTATATTTATCTGTATAAAAAATTTATTGATTTTTCTTTATATCCAAAGAAGTTTTCAATTACCCTTTATATTCAACAACATTGTGATTACAATAATACTCTTATTTAGATTTTAGATTCGTGGTACTGATAATTATTGTAACTATTTTATAATGTTTGTTTATAAATTACTCGTCAATTAAATATAATGTAAGTATACTGATAATTGCATATTATATAATTAAATAGGTATAAATTTTAATTTAAATTTGATTATATTTATTAATATTTCATATCTATTTATTTGATATTTATATATTTTTCTCTCATCACTTAATTATAAGATAAAAAGAAATTTTAATACAAAATTCATTTATATCTTTTTATCTTTATTTTTTACAGAGAAAAAGAATAAATTAAATAGAAGGAAAGAAAGAAAAAAGTGAAAAAAAAATCTGTTTGAATAACTATTATGAAAAAATATTTAAATTAGTGAAATTAATGGTGAAAGAATTAATGTTTTTTCAAATTTAACATGGAATAGTGTGACAATACATAGGACATTCAATGAATTGAATGGTGTGGATGTGAGGCGCTGAGGGTATCTGATCCATTGACTCTAATAGCAGATATGCCTTGATCATGAAACCTGGTGCTTTACTTTGCATTGCAAAAAGTATTTGCACCTAGGGAAAAATATTTTATCTTAGATTTTTTGGGAAAATTTTAGTGAGAATCCTTGACCAAATTTAATTTCAATCAAAATCTTTAAAATTCTGAAATTTTACTATATATGTGGGGGATTGAAATGATCTTATTATTCTTGATAAAGCCAGGCACATGAACAACTCATGTAGGAGAATTAACAACTGATATATGAAAAATGAACAATCAATATAAATAAAATTTGTAATTCTCATTAACAATATAATACTACTATAAATTTATAACTCTCATTCTGCCTACATTAATTGTTCATTTTTCATATATTAATTATTTATTTTTCATTTACGAGTTGTTCATATGCCTAATTTCACTTGTTGATATTCATAGTGGTGTTATGCTAGTAGTGAGAGTTACAAATTTCTTGTTTATTTTCCCCACATTAATTATTAATTTCCCTATACAAATTATTCATGCCATTGGCTGTACTAAAGATAATAAGGTCATCTAAGTCACCCACATGTACAATAAACTTTTAGAATTTTTGAGATTTTGACTGAAATGAAATCCGATCAAGGGATCTCATGAAAATTTTCCCCAGATTTTTTATGATGGGAAAACAAGTGTAGCAATGACTTCAACAAATCAAGATGTCCTAAAACATACATTTAGATTAAAGAGAATGAAAGAAAAAGGAAGAAAACATAAAAATCATAGTTGAAACTTTATTTAAATTTAAATCCGACATTCTCTTTCGACTGGAATATTTTTAGATTTATGAATTATGAAATAAATAATAACGAAAATAACCCTACAGAACAACACGTTTGCACAAAATGGCAAAGGGGAAAAAACGCCAAGTTGGAATTTGAGAGCAAGGCAACGATGAATTTCACAATTTTTACCCTTTACAAGACTATGATTCACCAGTCACCACCGTATACAAAACTGATCACCGAATAATTCTGATGCCAATAGTACACATACAATATAGGGCTTGCCTAAAGAACTTGAAATGTATAACTTGACAAAAAACTAGAATAGGCAACGACATCAACCCACTCTGGGAAAAGACCCTTCAATCTCTTTGCTGGTTCAACCAATTTTTGGTCTAATACTGCGAGGTCCACTCTTAATGCTTGAGAGTCATTAGCCTGACATTATCAGGATACAAGTTCAGCAATGATAATTTTAAGTTCCTAAGACTTATTATTAAATTGAAATTAGAATGTTCCCATGTCAAATGCCATCTGAGGGAAAATTATCGAAACATCAAACCCTACCTCCAACCAGAAGTTCCAATTCTCGTCACTGGCTCCACTAAGTCGCAATATATATGAAGGTGGGCCGCCATCAGCCGTTTCAGTTGCTGTGATTTTTTTTAGACTATGTCATGCAATCAAGAGATATTATCAAATCAAAACCAAAATGGAGGAAGGAAAAAGTTTCATACCTGGAAGAACATTATCCGCAAATGACCAACTGGATAAAGGACCAGTGATGTTGAGAACAGCAACCCAGACCTCTTCTAAGGAACTGGAAGGGAGATAAATCCCGTTAGACGCAAAATCCCAGGCAAGTATAGGTATGGTAAGACCTCTGGGGTCCATGCATGAAACTTTTTCCTTTGAATCATTTCAGCTCGCAAAGTACAATTAATAAACAGCTGTTAGATTAGAAAAATAGAAGTGCAACAAGAATATGGCCAGCAAGACTTTCACTTGTTTCAGAATAAACTATCTCCACAAAAAAGGGGCAGGGAAGACAAGAAGGAACAGTTCAAAAAAAAAAATTCCTTTACCCTGTCCGAGAGAACTTTCTCCACCAAATTCTCTATCAATGGTCTTTTTTGAAAGGAACAATTTAAACATATACCCTTATGGTGTGATTGCTGAAGAATATGATCGTGCAGTAATTTTTCAACTTCAATTTTGTTCCTGAAACCAACCCAGAAATGGAATTCCAAACCTAAAAATAGATCATAAGCCCATTTCCCAATAAGAAGAAGCAAGTAAAACCAAGGGTAACAAGCGCTAGCTCAGGAGGATCATCCAACAAAGCAATAAAAGGGAGACCACTAACCCAACCAACAGTATATCCCATGATAGAATTTTTTTTCAGCTATTGACTTTATTCTACAATACCGATACAACATCTATGTGCTCATGCGAATGAGAAATCATTATAATGATTTTCATTACTGCTTTTTTTTTTTGGGCCAGAATGATTTTCCATGCTAAGTATATGCATTAAGAAAGAAAACAACAGGAAGCCACGTAGAACATTAAAAAAATTGTGTGCAATTTAACTTCACAGAAAGTAATTAACATACTCTACTCACCCTAAAGAAAGCTCCAAGTAAACTCTCTTCATTCCACTTGTAGAGTTAGAATAAGACTTCTGAACAGACAACTTGGGAAAAAATTCATACTTCTCCAAAATCTCATCCCCTTTAGCAGGGAATTTCAGGCTATTTGAAAAGAGAAAAGAAACAGGAAAAAGTGCCTGAGAAAAAAAAAAAATCTCACCATTAATTTCTCCCATGCATTAGCTCAAGGAATATATCACTATTAAAAAGAAAAGAGTAAAACCAACAGTAGTTTTAATATATGATAAAAACGTAATTCTAGAGTTCAAGTGAAGGAATGATGACAAATAGTAACGAATCAACAATCAGCTGAAGGGATCTACCAAAAAAAAAAAAAAAAATCAGCTGACGGGAGCCCCTATGGAGTTCTATAACTAGTATAAACAATCAAATATTTGTTAAAATAATAAAGAAAGATAATCCTTAAGCTTTTAAATATCTCAATACACTCTTGGGTAAAATGGCATGCAATTCCAGAACCTAGAACTGACTCCAGATTTTATAACCCACACAGAAATTTCTGGCTTGATCTAGAACAACATTTTATATAGGTGGTCAGAACTAAATGACATCAAATGGTCTTCTTTAACTTTAACTCTCTATGTTCTTGAGGGAATTTAAAAACCCCAGAAATGAAATATGCAAATTTAGAGAGAGAGAAGGAGAGAGAGAGGAAAAGAAACTTGCCATCCAATTTTGGCGTTTAGACATCATTGCAGGTTGAAATGAAAACTCAGAAGGAACTTCCAACTCCCTTGCTACTTCAGGCGCATGTCTGAAAAGGAAAAGTAAAGAATTGGAATCCACCACAGAAAAATCATAAGTGGCTTCCACGATCTCACTTGAGCCTGCCAGACCACAAAAAATTGTTAGAAGACTTTAAAGCAACAACAACAAACCTTATGCCATTAAATGAGGTCAGCTACATGGATCGTATGATACCATTGTGACATTTAGAATGCTTTAAAAGACAAAAGCGGGAAAATGAGAGATTAACTGGCTGTAAATACCTGTTGTATGAAAAGTATGTTGAAAAACAACCCTCTTAGGTGCGGAAATGCTGTAAGGAAAGAATTGAGATGACATTGCCAATGCAAGCACACTAAGATGCAACAAAAATTGCAAGATAGATTTTCTTGCTAACCAACGGCCACAAATAGGCAATAGAGGACCCAAGCACCAACCAGTTATGATTCCAATTAGCGAAGCTACAACAAAGTCAGGAACATATTCCCCTGCAATAAAAAGTTTAAAGCATGAACAAGAGCAAGCATTATGGCTCATCAAACCACACATTTTAGTTCTCAATATAGAATCTGGATAATGTCTTTCTCATGAGTTCAAAGAAAAACCATCAGAAGACAAACCACTATCACACTATTTATTTGGTTAAATACATGTTTATGTGTATAAAAGTATGTATATATACCCACTTGTAGGAGCATGCATAAGCACATATAATGCGTTGTATGTCAACATTAAGAAATACAAAAAACTGGACTCGTGTGATAAAGAAAGGCTTTCAAAAACAACTTAAAGCCGACCTTACAAGTTAATTCCCTGGGAATATTAGAGAAAAGACTTTGAAACTATAACTCACGGAATATGTGTTAGATATCAGTGTGCCCTGAAACGTCGCTGACTTGTTCAACATGCATAGGATCAGGATATAAGACTAGAAACCCCACTTGAGGAGATGATAACAGCTCACGCCTCATGTTCTTCAAGGAACATGAATGTTAAAATTTAAGATCTTTTTTTTTTTCAATAAATTTCTTTTTGAAAATAAAATTTAAAATACTCCTAATATAGATAAATTTGGTTCTTTTCTTTTTTTTTTTTAGGCAAGAGGAGTAGGCTCCGCTGACAGCAAAGTTAATCTCCTACGAGGTATTGAGAGCAAAAGGTAGATTTTTTTTCAATTAAGTTACTCCATACATGAAGGCTAAGATTTGAACCCCTAACCACTTGCAAGAGCCTCTACTACTCACGCCAAATTTACTTGATAAATTTGGTTCATTTTTTAATATCACTAGATAAATTTGTGTGTTTGTAATTGAAATTTGACATGTCAAGATGCTCACGTTCCATGCTAGTATTTGTGCTTCATAGTCTAATGATGTGAAAACTAGTGTCTAATTATTGTCTCAAGTCGTGGCATAATATTGTAAATTTAAGTAGTAGGATGACATATTACCCCATGGCAGAGGAAGAGCACCCATCATTCCCATTTTTTCAATTACAAACTCAGATAAAAAGCCACCAAAATAAACAGAGTATGCAAGGCATGGAACCAGAGGCATCATGTAAAACATTGTTGACCTGGAAGACAAAGGAAAATGAAAAATAATAAGAAATTACAAGTAGCAGGTGTAAGAAGAGATAACCATGTAAAAAAATGATTAGATAAACAACACAGAAATCAAAGGTGTGAAGAAGCCAGTCAAACTTTTGTTGCATGAATCGAATAAAAGCATACCTGCATAAGAAAAAAGACAGCAAGATAAGAGAATTTATTTGTCTATAAGTTGCAAATGCAAAAAGACTAGTTACAAATTGCAGAAAATATCACTAGCAACCTGACAGATTGGCGTCCATAGGACTTCACTGATAAGCAGAACGACATCCATGCAGGAAGCATGAAAGTTGATGTCACAAAAGTTAAGAAACCTCCATTCAATCCAGCTCCTAGGTAAGCCTGCTTTTTGAAACTTGTTAAGCCATACAAAAGAAAATAAAGAGAAAATGTTACCCAAATAAAATATCAAAATATTTGAATCGATGCCAAAGGCAATTCTACACACCACAGTTAATACAGCATAAAATCCAAATGCTCCCCAGAACCTTCCTTCATCAGATAGTGCCTGCAATTCACATCATCAAGACAAATTGAGGTCATCCATAAATAGTATGCTTGTCCTCAATAAGGTCGCTCAATAATGTTTATGAAGATAATAAACGAAGATATCACAAACTAAAATAAAACAAATACAGCTCTCAATAAACTCAAAGTTGTATGCCTTTTTCCCTAACAATATTTCATTACAGAACAAGCAGAGTAAAGAGAAAAAAATGTTCAGGAGAAACTTCAAGCTAGAATGGACAATTTTGCACTCCAAGGAATAAGGTAGATAGTTGACCTTGATTTTTTTTTCTGACGCTGAGGAAATAACAGAATTGAGTTCAATAACTCAGAAAAAAGGTTGTTGAAGAAACCACATATAAAGAAATATATTAGTTTCGGAGAACATTGCTAGCTGAAGCATTAACATGCATCAATTTTTTTTTTTTTTGGGGTGAATACACTGTCAAAAGATCTTGATTGCAAGTACCTGTAGCACTTGTGCACCAGGAAAAAAAAAATCGCTGATAAAAAGGCATGACTGAAACATGGTCAACATTCTACAGGTCTATTTACAAATAAAAATTTGGGGGGGGGGAATTTGAACACGAGATACAGCATCCTTCAAAATTTGTTTGAAATATTCAATGCACCATATTACCTCTTTTGACGTCTTGGCCACTAAAATGTCTTGAGTCAGGGGAAAGTGTCTCCAAACAATTCTGGGAATTAGAAGACCAATAAGTGAGCCGGGTACGTACATCACGAAAGCCAAGTACGGACGTGCAAACCTGCATTGTACCATTTTGTAAAAAGGCATGGACGAAAACCAGTGTTTGATACTATTCGAGTCACAATTTTCTTAAAAACATTTCACCATCATAAGGTACTCACAATGAGAGATTCTAAAGTTATTGCCAAACACTAAGAGTAGCTCAATCATTAACATGGTGGAGTTTCCAGTTATTTCATCATATTATTTTGATCCTTGAGAAAAATTTAAATAGTAAAGCCAAAGGTTAACGTTGCAATCTCAACTACCACAGAAGAGTAGCACAAAATGAATTTTGAAAGAAAGGTGGGGAGTAGTTTACCCCCAAAAGGGGGAAGTTTATGAAGACTGTTACTTATCAACCAAAATATAAGTTCAAAAAAACACAAAGGTGCTAAGCAAGGGAATCACATTCCATGCTCATCATCATGATGAGCATGGAGTGCTCATCATCAATCAGGCTGTTCAGATTGTATTTAGACTATCCAGATTTAATCTTTTTATTTTTATATTTAAAATAAATTCTATTTTTATAGAAGTTAAATGTAAAATAAATATAATCATACAACTATCACTTTTCAAAAAAAAATATCATTTAAAAATTAATAACTCTGAATCATCCAATCTAAATTGCATCGAATGAGGACATTAAACTAGAAACGAACCTACCAATTCATTGGCTGAGGAGAGAACTGAACTTTAATTAAAGAAAATATGATTGGAAAAACAATCCCCAATAAAATCCCTACAGTATGAATTAGAAAGCCTGCAAATTCATCAAAATGAAAATGTTACACAAAATTATTGATATGTAATTGCTTCAGTTATCCTAGAGTACAGATCCAAAAGCACCAGTAAATATAATGAGACACGTAAGAAACACTTTATATGAAGAGAAACAATAAGTGCCCAACACTTTATAACAAGAGAAATCAGCAGTGAACATTTACCTTTCATAAAATCACAAAAAGTTGTTGACCATGAGCGTGACCGACTACGCATCAGGAAGAAAGTCATGATAAAGAAGATGAAGATAGGAACACTGTGAAGAATCCAAGCTACTCTTCTGGAATAGGATATCTGACGGTCCATGATTAAAAAACAAAGGAACAAAAGAGAAAGATGAGAAATCACTGAAGATCAAATTGCTAGGTGTATCAACGTTTGATGAGCAAATAATGTGTACCATAAACCATGAGAGATAGTCAAAGAAAACTGCCCGCTTATCTTCATATGTGCTTGCAGTAACTTCACTGGAATTTGTTTGATAGATATTTCTTAGCTTAGAGGAATTAACAAAAGCTTTGATTATGCTGAACAAATTGTCACCACGTGCCTGAATGCTTCCAGGTCTGGAGACAAGGAAAATGACAAGTATGAGGTGGAACCAGCATGATAGAAAATGTCATTCAAATATCTAAATAGAAAGAGTGGGAAAGATGCATACATCAATCTCTCTATTGTATCATAGGAGGTATGGTAAAAATAACCACCAAGAAGAAAGATGATGTCGAGCCCAGGAATATTTCCGTAGTCTTGAGAAAATATCCGGTAATCTGTATCTCCAGGAATAACAGGGAAAACATCCTGCATATTGATGAAGATAATTCATGTTTGAATTGTTCAATACAAATAGGAAACATACATTTAAATGGAAAAAAAAAAATAAAACACACACATCATACAGCACAGCACAAATGTAGGCAGAAGTATATAAAGTTGTGAATAGAGACAGAGAACCTGAGCTGCACTGTTAGCCATAGGGTATATTGCTGCTTCGGCATAGACATTAGAGGCCCAAGAACCAGGTCCAGATTGGCAAACTAAATCTGCACGTTGATGCAGAAAATTCATGTTCAAATTTTAACATTATTCACTTAAGATTCATAAATAGCACACCCGTGAGTATGGAAAATATGCAGCTAATTATTTCCTGCTAAAAAAGAGGATTGGTCCAAATATAGCCTCTCATATTTGCAATGCTGAGTGTGAGCAAAGGACCCAAAAAAAGGTCTACAGAACAATAATTCAAATCCTAAAAATGCTAATGTATAAAGAACCGATAAATTTAAAGGCCTGAGAAATAGTTCGAGAATGGTTTTTATAAATCTGGAAAAGAAATTGAATAATACTGGATTGTAGATATGGAATATATGTTACCAGGTCCTCCTGTCCCAGATGCCTCCACATTTATAACAGCTCCAATTGTATCATGCCACTTATGCGTCTTCATGAATCCATGTGCACCCTTTAAAATCAAAATCAAAACAAAACTTGATCAGCTCAAACATGGTAGAGACCAATAAAATAATTTATCCTCAGACAAATATCTCCCCATAAAGTATGCCAGGACTCATGAGTGCCTTTGTGTGCTTTGGAGAGCAAAGAAAGGGAGATGAAGAGAAGAGAAATATAAACGTCAGCCATATGAGATGATACAATAAGAGATCGAAAATCTTCTAATTAAAATTATGCATTGTGTTCCAAACCAACTCATATGTAATATATATATATATGTAGCAGAAGATTCTATTCCCTTCTCCTTAATAATCAAAACATCTTAAGCACACAATTTTTCTGTTCAGATGTCAGATTATAGATGACAACAGGTTACACTTTTTAATCAATAGTTCAATACAAGACCAATCAAATCACTAAAAGTTAACTATCCATAATATCATCACTACTGTATGCCAATGCTTTAGTCATTTGATAAAGTCACAAGCATTTAACTCTTAAATGTCATATAATTCTGCATCCATTGAACACAAGATAACTCCAACAATTGAGAATTAAGAAGTAATAAGAAACTCAAAATAAAATATTGACAATGAAATGTAATTTCAATATGGAACTCTTATTACTACAATGTCCTACCAACATGAAGAGTTCCTCAGCACCATTAAAGAGGAAAATAACAGGGCGGGTTGGAGCCCAACTAGAGTCCACAATTAGCCGTGCCAATTCCAGCATTGATGCTGACAAGGATGAAAATAAATAATAAATAAATACAAATTAATATTTAGTGCGGTCAAGTAAGGATGTGCTGATACAGCCATTCTATTCGGTTAAGTCTTCTGATGTAGTCAATACCTACCAACACATGAACCACAATCTCCAGCGCCTGGGGAACCAAGTGGACTATCAAAATGCCCATTCACTAAAACTGATGGATCAGTGTCTTCTGAATCTTTAGATGATATCCTGTTCCATATTGAAAACGAAACCAATGTAAGACAAATACTGTTACTAAGTTCATATACAATACAGAAGAAACAAAATAGCATAGTGTAAAAGGTAACAAACAATTTGTCAAATACATTGAAATGATAGTTGTTGTATAAGATGAAAGTTAGTTATAGTTGGTTGGTTATGTAGTAGCTGTTAGCCTATTGCTACAAAAGGGAGGAGGGATTGTTTGGTTAATGGGAATTGTCAATGTTACTGCTATCTTGAAGTTTCATTCTTCCTCCTAAAATCTCTATCCCTCCCTCTCTCTGCCCTCTACCTATCTATCTAAATCGTTCTATCTTTCTTCTTCCTTCATGCCACCTACATTCTTCTTCACATAATATGTATAGTCTCTTGGGGTAAGAGAAGGTTTTGAATTTCCCACAGGCACACCATAATCAACTTCAAGGATTAAATAACAAAGTTCTTCATGTGAGGAAAATTATCATTCATGAATAAATATTCCAAAAGGATTGAGGAAAAAATTGGAACAAAATAACACTGGTTATAACAAGTATTATAGAGGTTACGTCCTGCTCACCACATGCATATAATTCAAGGTCCTATATAAATAACAATTCAAATGTCAGGATACCTCATTATAATGTTTGTATGGTTCCTGTATCCCAGAGCTATGCCATGCCGCAAAAAGATCATAGTAAAGGAGCCATTTACAGTGGTTTCCTCAATCTCAATTCTGCAAGTGGAAGAATACGGAAACAACAGGAAGTTTTTCGATGGTGAATGGGAAGAAAACGTATATTGTCTTCAAATTAAACATTGAAGTCTGCCAAACAATACGTGGAAAAAAGGGAAAAGAGAAAAAGAAACAGATGGCAAAATAAAGTTTAAAAGAAAACTTCAACATCAAAGTACACCAGTTCACAACCTGACACTGGACCTAGCTCGCTCCTTTATTACTTCTAACTGACCCTTGATATATTCAGCAGCTTTCCTCAATCCAGGACGTCCTTCCTGCAGTTAATGCATCAAACAGTCAGCACTCAAATAGCTCGTACATTAGAGAGAAGCCAGATTTAATCTCCCCGAAAAGTCGGCCAGTGTAACTTCATATTGATGCCAAATAGAGATGTAAAATAAACATTCTACATCCCATATGCTACTTTGTTTCTAGTTTGACCTCCATGAGAATGATTAATGATAAACGATCAAGACCAGCCTAATTTCTCCTTTATACCCTACTTAGCTTAACGAAGTAAACCGCAGAAATTCAACGAAATCTAGTCGTTAAAATTCCCTGTATCTTGATTCCCGTCGCCTAAGGAAATAGACTTCTTCGACACTCAGAATTCAGCACAAAGAAAGGAGATACAGAACCGCTGGCTTACTTGACGTCCATCGATCTCTTTCGACAAGACTCGCACATGTTCGATCGCTCTGGCTTCTGAAAAGCGATTGACAGGCGCGTCCAATTCAAGTGGCTTGATAAACTTCATATGAGTGACAGAATAAGCCAGCATCGACAAGAGGCCGTACAAGACCGCCATGAACAACAAGAATTTGAAGGCGGAGACATCGTGAGGGTCCAACCGGAAAGCCATTGCAAATTCGAATCCTCAGCGAGTGAACCCAGTACGCAAAATGATACAAAAGAGATGGTAAGAGCGTCTCCTATTTCCTTCCATATAACACCGTACACAGATTGAAGTTCGCCAAATTAAAAAATAAAACAGAAATCGCCGGTTTCGTGAGGGAATCCTGTGAAGAAGCAGAAATTGCTGAGCTCATGAGCTACGCAACTTCATGAGCTACGACCAGACAAAGCAACTTATTATCGACGAGGGAACGAAGCAACTTCCATTTGGTGTCCGAAATTGAATTTTAATAAATATAAGACAATTGTTAAATTAGGGCTTTCTTTGTGTCTCACACGCATAAATCATTCATTTTATAGAGGCCACGTTAATGCATGTGTCCCATATGGTGACTTTAATTTCCGATAAAAAAAAATGGTGAATTTAATTAAATTTATTTCATCATTAATTTTCTTTTCTCGTTTAGGATGTTAGATTGTTGTATATCTAAAAACGTTTCCTTACACGTTGAATTTAAAAAATAATAATTCAATGAATTACGAACAAACACAAATTTTATATGATATACTCCTTCCGTTTAAAAATGTAAGGCATTTTTTAAAAAATTAAATGTTTAAAAATATAAGATATTTTTAGTTTTTTGAAATGTAATCATTATCTTTTTTTTTAAATACCCCTATTGATGGTGACTTTATATTTATTATAGGGTAGTTAATATGGGTAAATATAAAAAGATAATATTAATTTAAAAGTAAATAAAAACTTTCTTAGGAGGTGAGATTCGGTTAAAAATGTTTTACATTTTTTAATGAAGGGAGTAGTATTTAGTTTTTGTATTTAAAAAAATATAGTATTTAATTGTAGTATGTCATTGAAAATCATTAATCTTGGTTGTGACCAAACCAATGTAAAAATAGATTTATCTTAAAAATTGCAAAAACTCATTTCTAACTAAAACCCAAAGAAGCTTGGAGAAATTTTTGGTATACTAGATAATGTTATTGATTTTACATCATATTTGTTTATCATTTTTCAGTATCTTAATGTTTATCTATTTTTATCTTCTATTTCAATACAAGACGTTGTTAAATTGGGGCTTTACTTGTGTTTTATGCGCCTAAATCATTCATTTCCTAGAAGTCACGTTAATGCATGTCCCATAGGGTGAATTTAATTTATTTCTTCATTAATTTTCTTTTCACGTTTAGAATGTTAGATTGATGTATATCTAAAAATGTTTCCTTGCGCATTAAATTTTTTTTAAGAGAAATTCTTAAATGAACTTGGTACATCACATTATTCATGATTCATCTAATAAAAACATGACATTCAAATAACATTAAATATAAATTAATTTTGATACTAACGATGGTAAGAAATTAAATAAGTATTCTATTACAAAAATAAAATTATTAAAAATAATAACATTAAAATTCTATTTGTTGAATTGGTGCAATTTTATTGAATGGACAGGGTCTATATTAGTAATACAAAATTCACTGTATGATTATTATATGAAATTGTAGGTTTATATATATTTTTAAAATATTTACCGTGATTACCACATGTGAATATGAGTTTCATAGTTTTTAAATTTATTTGTCAGCTTTTATAGAAACATTATATGCACGGCAAATATACTTTTTCTAATATACATCAATACAATCTAACATAATATATGCAATTTATAATAAATCATACTGCTTATTAATTGTAATAGCTTGTTTTCTAAACTTTCACATGGCACTTGCGAATCCACCAGCACCACCTAATAGTTTGTGAATATAATAGGAGATGATTTAGTTTATCAACAGAAATTGAAGTTAGTAGAAGAAATTATAATCACTTAAGTATGAAGTTTTGAGTTCAAAAACGTATGAATGCAGCAAAAGTTTTGGAGACATATCTTTCTTTGGACTCAACAATGTTTGAATCTAATCACGTCAGTTATTCATATAATAAATGATTATTTAGTTTTATACCTATGTAGCTTTAAGAATTGATAAATCATTATAAAAACTATAAAAAAAATAAATAAAAAATAATAAACAATTTTTAGTTTTCTGTGATATATTGACTAGACATGCCGGCATTTGCTCTGAAACAGCGTGCGTGTATTTAATTTTCATTTGATCTCTCAACTTCTTTTAAAAATCGGGCTAATTTTTTAAGTTTCTGTTTATATTAAGTTGATCATATATGTCGTCACTCGTCACCGTCAGACTTGACCAATAATTTCGCTTTTTTGCTATGGTCCCAAACTTCCTGCAAAAGCAAATTTTTAAAGGAAAACTGATAATAAAATTTTTTTAAAGTATATAAATAATAATTTAGTCTCTTCATAATTTTTTTGAAATTTTTAATTATTTTTTTATTATTAATAAATTTATATAAGTTATCAACCTATTTTTATTGAAAATAAATAATTTATAAATTTTATTTAAATATTCATAACTTTTTTCTTTATATTTGCAACAATGCAACAATAAATAAGAAATTTTACAAATGAAGTTGTAGTTTAAATTGTAATTTGCTATTGCATTAGTGTAAATACAAAAAAGAAAGTTGTGAATACTTAAATAACATTTATAAATTATTTATTTTCAATAAGGATAATTTAATAATTTATATAAATTTATTAATAATAAAAAAATTTTAGAATTTCAAAGGAATTATGGTATTTTGAAAAATTAAATTATTATTTATATATTTTAAAAAATTTATTATCATTTTTTTATTTTTAAATGCATTTTTGCGTGCTTTGCCTTCAATTAGGATTTTGGAACCCATTTCTTCCTTGTCAGTTGTCACATTTTGGGTGCCAAATGCCGAAGTTAATTACTTCGTCCAAACTATTGCCAAAGGAGTCAATAATTTTCATAATTATAGTGATATTTTTAAATTGTTCTTGTAAAGTGAAAATATTATAATGACAGGTACCACATGCTAAGCGAAAATAAAAAGAAAAATGAATGATAATATATTTTTAAAAATTTAGATTTAAGAATTTTAAAACGACACGTACAACAAAAAAAGTAACAAAAACAAGACGTAGCTGCTTGGTATTGGTGAGTATTTTTGCAATTCATACATGTCACGATCATGCATGCTTAGACTATTCCACCCATTTTCACTGTCACCGTCCATGAAGTTCCATGTACCCTCAGAGTCATTTATGATCTTCCCAGGATTCTCAGTATACTCTGAATTTAAAGATAGTATGTAAAAGTTATAACCATGCAGAGTTCATGATAAACCGTACTATAAGTTATGCTACAAAAAGAATTTATAGTTATTTTACATTTCGATAACAACATGTATAAACAAAAATTACTAACTATTAATTACTTTCTTTCAATTTTATCATTTCACAATTTTCTACAAATAGAATAAATTAAAATGTTTACATGTGAGCTAAGGGGATAATGAATGTGTTTTTAAAGACCATTCTTTCAATAAAAATGGATTGAAAAAAAAAATCAAACAAATTTTACCACCTCTCCTTGGCTATAAAAGGTGTTTAAAAATAACTTTAATATATAACTCATAAATGAGTATTATTTATAACTCAAAAATAGTATGTTTTTTTTTTACCGTTCATGGTGTTATTAATCTTCGTTAGACCAAAAAGAAAAAGGAAATAAATTTGAATTCTTCCAGATTGCTTGGTTTTTTTTTTGTAAACTATTTTTTTAAAATTTTGGCCAACAAAATTAATTTTTAAAAATATTGTTTAAAACAAAATAAAATAAAAAATATTTTGATTATGTTAATTTGAAACAACTTTAGAGTTAAAAAAGGCTAATAACAGTGATTGTCAGTAGTTAATGATAATGATTTTTGGTAATAATTGACCACAACTAAAAATAATTTACAACAATCAAACATAGTGTGTACTTTGAAAAAAAAAAACCAAAACAGCTCTAATTTGTTTTCATTTAAAAAACCAAAAATAAGAACATTTTAAAACTATTTAAATCAAAAATATTTATCAAATAGTAAATCTTTTTATTTTGTTTCATTTTAAAAAATATAAATCAAACAGGCTAAATTTATCACTGATCACTCTCAACGTACTCTTTCAGATTTATACAGTGGTGGACCTACATGCTTGTGAGGAATGAGGATGAGCAAATGCCTACACTCACTTAAAAAAAAAGTCATGTTAGCATTAGTTAATTTTATATTTTGCTCTGTAGAATTTAGGATTTTAAATCCATTAAAATATTAATTTTTCTCATTTGGAAAAAAGTAATGTTACGTTTCAAATAGCATTAAAATTTAAATATAATTTTTCATTTTGAATATATGAATGCAAATATAATTAGTCAATCAATTTTATTTAACTCAACAACTGTGTTTAAATAATAAATTTTCTATTTTCTATATTTTTTTTAAATACCCCCACTGACCAATGGTCACTGCCATTGGCTGACCAGCACGTGCTGGAGGAGAGTAGTGTCGTGTGAAACGTTTTATATAAATTAGCTCTAAAAGAAACGTGTCAGTCCAAAGGTGGACGTTGGAACTGGAAACAGATTGATAGGGACGAATCTTTGCGCCAGTTCGATACTCGTCCTAGGCATAAAATATTAAAATGATTCTCGTTGAACCGTTCAATGTAATTTACACCATTTAGATCTAAAATTTTAACTCATAATTTTAAATATGGATTTTTTTTGACAGAATGATAGTTAAGAAATTATTTTTATTTTTCATTATACATCTACTAAAATAATTTTTTTCAGAAATATAAAAATAATTAATATTAAATTTAAACAGTCCAAACTTAATTTTGATGCCCCATACTGGTGCTCATCATGGCCAAAGTCTCAAACTATTCCATCCGTCTAGCGTTATAAGATAATTTAAAATAAGATTATGCAGATTAATAAAATTTAATAATGATATTTTACAAATTTATTTTTTAAAAATAAAAATATAAATTTTTAAAAATATTTTTTATTTAATATAATTTTAAATTTATAATTATTTCAATTATCTCCCTATCTAAAGGATAATAATGAAAAATATTATTAATAAAATTTTATTTTTGATTAAATTATTCCATATTTTAAGATATTGTCTTATGATTTGAGATAAGAGAGAATATATTCCAAATCTTTATGTCTTAAATTCATCCACTGAACTTGTATAATTAACCACGTCTTAGGGATCTTACTTGATGGAACTGTTGTCTTTACCATGATTAATATGGATTCGCGATAAGGGTAAACTACTAGCAGTATTGAGGTGGGAA